AGTTTTCTCCTACTCTCTTTAGACCAGGCATGATCAAACTTTGGCTGTCCCTCCAGGTGTTTTGGACTACAACTCCCACAATTCCATCCCACAACTCCCACACACCAATCAGACACATGCCTCTATTGACATGCAAACACAAACTATACTAACCCTCGAGCACACAACTACAGAGAAAATCATTTTTATTTTTTATTTATTTATTTGTCGTGACAGGACAACCAGTCAATTATATTACATCTCTAACAGAACAAAGCAAACAAACAGACAAAATACAAAATTTGTGAGTTTGGTAGTTGATTAAATGTCCTTTGACCAGTAGCTGGCCACTTGGAGTGCTTCTGGTGCAGAGAAAATCCTGCAAACCTCATACTCACAGGCTGTTGATCTTTATATCTCATTATTCCATTCATTTTTGGTACTCCTAAATCATGACAGTTTTCAGAACATTTGTCTAATTCATAAATTCTGCAATTGACATTTTCCCCCATCATTTCAGTGAAAAGATGGTAAATCCCAGTCTTTCTTGAAGCTGGGTGAGGATTTCTTCCTGATCAGCATCATCATCAGTTTGTTCATCTTGGGTACTTTGTAGATCTTTTGGTGTTGGGTTAACTGTCTCCTTCCATCCCTGTGCATAAACAATTCTTGCTGCAGTTATCATCTTCCATGTTTTCTTCCGGGTTGATAGTGCAGGATTCCCAAGACATACAACTCTGGACTTGTCATTATTTTTTAACCATAACAATTCCTTTCAGCATCATATATATTCAAAACCACTGACATGTGGTAAAATATCCCAACCTTTTTCTCACATTCCAATATTTGATTGAACTGCCTTTGGACATAGAATCATAGAATCAAAGAGTTGGAAGAGACCTCATGGACCATCCAGTCCAACCCCATTCTGCCAAGAAGCAGGAATATTGCATTCAAATCACCCCTGACAGATGGTCATCCAGTCTCTGTTTGAAAGCTTCCAAAGAAGGAGCTTCCACCACACTCCGAGGCAGAGAGTTCCACTGCTGAATGGCTCTCACAGTCAGGAAGTTCTTCCTCATGTTCAGATGGAATCTCCTCTCTTGTAGTTTGAAGCCATTGTTTCGTGTCCTAGTCTCTAGGGAAGCAGAAAACAAGCTTGCTCCCTCCTCCCCCCTGTGGCTTCCTCTCACATATTTATACATGGCCTTCATCATATCTCCTCTCATCCATCTGTTCTTCAGGCTAAACATGCCCAGCTCCTTAAGCCGCTCCTCATAGGGCTTGTTCTCCAGACCCTTGATCATTTTAGTCACCCTCCACTGGACACATTCCAGCTTGTCAATATCTCCCTTCAATTATTTTGCCCAGAATTGGACACAGTATTCCAGGTGTGGTCTAACCAAGGCAGAATAGAGGGGTAACATTACATTACATTGTAATTACATAAAATATATGAATACATTAACGATATAAGATTACAATAAACATAGTCGCAATGACAATGGGCAGGCTACATGTGCAAGAAAATGATTTAAAAACTAATTAAGGACTGATACATGTGAGATAAAAGGAGAAGCAGGTTATTTGCAGAGGGGGGGCTCATTAAAATGGGGATTGTGGAATCACATTTTCCCATGAGGGGTGGGGGGGCATGTATACTCCAGTGACAAAATCGTTGAGGCTGAGCAATAATGTGAGGTTGTATACCTACTCACCAAAGGCGCAGCGGGTATCTCTTGTAGGGTCACTCCCCCCCCCCCTTGCCCATCACCATTTGTCCTAAATTATTATTATTTTACTGGCACAAAAACACAGTATGTCACAGCAAAAGATACATATGCTGGATTTCATATCGCAAGTTGAAAACTTCCCAAGTGACTAGGGCTGTGTGATGTATTTTCGAATAATGCGCGCAGATCCAAGTAAGGTGGCCTTTTGCAGTTGACAGATCATGATTTTGTCAATGTTCTGAGTTATTATTAACATTATTAATACCCCTTCTCCCCTTGTGGACTCAAGGTGGC